TGCTTTAGCAAACCCACCAGCTTTGGTGTATGTGGCCAGCACCATACCTACTGCACCACAATGCCCGACTATTTTTTGCTGCAGTTGTAATTGTTATTTAGCTGGCCTAAGCTGGGTTCGAACTCACCAACCTGGGTGTATGTGGCTGGCACAGTAACCACTGTGCTACGGGCGCCGAGCCTCCCCATTTATTTTTTATGTACTCAGTCATCTCCACATCAGTGTGGATTCACAAATGCTCATTCGCTCTTTATGTCACAGTCCTGCATTATTGTCACTTCTTCTGTTGTATGGATTGTCCCAGCTTTGGCCATTGGGAGTTCTTTCATGTTCCTTTTGAAATGTTCTTCCTCTTTATTTTCACTTCCTTATTTTCTGGCATTCTGGCACTACCAGAGGCTCCCAACTCCTCCTATTGCCCTTGCCCCAACCTTCTAATTAACCAATTCTCTAAGGAACTCTCGTTCCTTTTATTGAAGAATGGTATTTAAAAACCAAGTTTGGGCACTCAGTGTACATACTGTTGCTGGAGTGTCATTGCTTTTAGACCTTTCAGGCGTGCAGAGCTAGAAATTATACCAACCCATGCACACACACATCTCTTTGTAACTGTATCTCTCATCAGCGTAGGTTAAGGCAGACCGGAGTTGATACCTTTATCTCAGGCTCTAATCTAGCCTCCAGGTCTACTCACAGGTTTGTGCTTTTGCTTTTGCTGATGGAGCATGGGTGGCGCAGTAGTTAGACCTGGTTTCCACATTTACTTTCTGCTGAGTGCTGTGGCTCCTTGGTGAGAAAGGAGACTTTTTGTCTTGACTCTAGTACACACACTCCAGCAGGAGATCCACCCTCCCCGCTCCTCCCAGCAGTCATCCAGCGCTCCCTGGGGTGACTCTAGCATTGCAGTTTGAAAGCACTTTAGTTTGAAGGTACTTCACTTCGTTCCTTTTAAACTAATGTGCCTCATTGAAACTTATAAGCCTGTGTCACATAATTTGAAGAGTTATCACTTAAGTAACTGTCTCTAACACAGAGGTCAGCATACCTTTTCTGTAAGTACCAGGTGGTATGGTTTTGTGGGCCATAAAGTCTCTATCTGGTCCTGCGAAAGCAGCCATAGACAGTACACAAACAAAAGAGCTGTGCATGACTGTGTTTCAGTAAAATTTTATTTACAAAATAGAGTTTTGAATTTGGCCCATGGATTTACCATACTCTGGACTTACTAGATGCAGTCTTCTCCTTCTCTTTCTTTCTCTCTGCATTCATAGACTTTCTTTTTTTTTTTTAGTCTCACTATGTCGCTCTCAGTAGAGTGCTGTGACATCATGGCTCACAGCAATCTCAAACTCTTGGGCTTACATGATTCTCTTGCCTCAGCCTCCTAAGTGGCTGAGACTACAGGTGCCTGCCACAACGCCCAGCTGTTTTTTGGTTGTAGTTGTCGTTGTTTGGTAGGCCGGGGCTAGATTCAAACCTGCCAGCTCTGGTGTATGTGGCTGGCGCCTTAGCTGCTGAGTTACAGGCGCCAAGCCCAGACATGACATTTTACATTTGAGTATCAGTTAAAGGATGCAGTTTCTAGAGAAGCAGGACCTTCCAGGTGTGTACCTGTTGGCCTTGCTCGCTGGTGGGATGGGGCCAGGGCCTGCATTTCCTTCTTCCTGTTAGGTACTACTGCGCTCTGCTTCTCAAGACACTGACATCCTGTGGTGTGGTGTGGTGTGGTTTGGTTTAGTTTTTTAAGTGAACTTTTATTTGAGTATAACATACATAAGAAATATGTATGGATCATAACTGTTAGTACTGGAGGCACTTTTTAGTGTTATTTGAAGCCTGTTTTGATGAGTCGGCTAAGGTGGCACAATACTCGGTGCAGGAGGTTACGCTACGCCAGCCAGTGCTTATGGTGTGAAGCAGTCAGTGTTACAGAACTATGTCCCCTGTCTCAGCGGGCTTTGGGTAATTTGTTTATTTAAGTTTTATAATTGGTAGCTAGGATTTAGTGCAGGGGAGAAAGGATTGAGTATTCAGTACCATCATTCTCATATCAGTAAGCTTTCTGTTCAGAGAGTTCTAGAAGATTTAAATTTTAGTATTTGAATTATTCAATGAGTTTTTCTGTATTTTGTCATTTAAAATTTTTTTCTCATCAGCATCTAGTTAAGACCAGTATTTTGAATCTTCAATACAGTTGTGGACAGTAGTATATTTAAGTTTATGTAAGTATAGGGAAACAAATACTTTGATTTGAAGTTAGAACACTGGTTTTAAGTTCAAAGCTTACGTCTTACTATTTTTAAGATCTTAAGAAAGTGATTTAACCTCCTTGGGTCTAAGTTCTTTATCTGTGTATTAGGGAAAACATCTGCCTTCCTTCACTTACAGGTTGTTGAAAGAATCAGAACTATTGTCAAGAAACTTCCAGTGATAGATTTTATAGCTTTGTGTGCATGTGTAGGCAAGCAGTGGCAGTTCTGTGACTTTTTTCTAACTTTGTATAAGTTTACCCAAACAACCCTTATCTTCCAACTGGCTTAGCTGCTTAGCCGTATTGCACTTCTGTTTTTTCTTCTACCTAAACCAATGATTTTTGACTGGCGTGCCTGAGAGAAGATCTTAGGTGTGCCTCAAAAAATTTTAAAGATCATTAATTAAATTACTTTCAAAAGAAGTTCAAAGCACAGTAAGTCTATTTTTTTACTCTCTCTCTCTCTGTTTTTTTTTTTTTTGATCAGTATAATTTAAGTGTGCCATAAAAGTTTAATTGTAGGTTCAAGTGTGCTGTGACATAAGAATATGTTGAAAAGCACTGGTCAGCAGCTTCTGATGGTGGATGTCTGCCTAACCATGTGTTGTGAAGTGATTCTATTTGTGCGTTCATTCAGCACTCATTTAACAGGTGCCTACTATGTGCTGGGCACTGTTTCAGGCACTAAAGTTTCACATTTAGTAAAGATTAGTTCTTCTTCTGCCCTTATGGGCATATAATCCTGAGAGTAAGGCAGGGCTTAATTAAGAAAGACATATAGGCCAGGCATGGTGGCTCACACCTATAGCCCTAGCACTCGGGGGGGCCAAGGCAGGAGGATCGCTTAGTTCAAGAGTTCAAGACCAGTGTGAGCAAGAGCAAGACCCTATCTCTACAAAAAAATAGAAAAACTTATTGGCCTATAGACTCAGCTCTCTAAAGGCTGAGGCAGGAGGATCACTAGAACCTAGGAGTTTGAGGTTACTGTGGGCTAGGCTGACATCATGGTACTCTAGCCCGGGAAACAGAGTTAAACCTCTGTTTCAAAAATAAAAAAAAAAAAAAGGAAAAATTTATTCATATATATATATATGTGTGTATATATGAAATTACGGCTAAGATAAGTGCTAGAATTATAAGTATATAGTTCTATGATAAGGAGATTTATTCTAAGCGGGAAGATTAAAAATAACAAAAAGACATTTCTAAGACAATGGTTGGGCTCAGGGAGAAGGAAAAAATAATCTGCGAAATGGGAACCTGTTCAAAGACCCTGTGGTTGGAAGCAGCATGGTCCACGTGAGTAATTAATAAGCAGCCACTGCAGGCAGAGTGGTGGAGGTGAGAAGACCTTGATGGCTGGCTCAGCGTGCAGGCCCTCGAGGCCACAGGAAAGAGGCTGTCTTCAGAATGCAGGTTAACTCAAGTGATGGGAGCTGAGAACTTGACATGAGCAGATTTTAGTGAAATCATCAAGTAAGTGTTAAGGAGCTATTCCTGAAGCTAGCCTTGTGCATTTTCAAGAACTTTGAATAACAATTGTTATGAACTCAAATTTATTATGTTTTTGTTAAATACAGAGAGGATTATGTGAGACTATAGTTTCATTCTTCATGAATTGGTAAATGATTTCAGATGATCAACAAATATTCTATCCATCACTGCTAAAGATATATATGATTATAATGATAGAAATAGGTAAAGTAGATTGGTACCCTAACTTTTCTACCATTGGCCCCAGAAACTGATAGCTTAAAAATGTTACGGTGTCTAGTTAGCTTTTAGATTTTAAAAATTAAAGTTTAGTGATGACCAAGATTTAATTAAATTATAGAAAATTATTCTTTCAAAAGCACAGTGTAATCTTTTCCTTGGTTTCTTTACTGAGATAGGGTCGCAGTGTATTATCAGGCTTAGAGTACAGTAGTGTTGTCAGACCTCACTGCACCCTCAGACTCCTGGGTTCAAGTGAGCCTCCTGCCTCAGTCTTCCAAGTAGTTTAGACTATAGATAGATGGCATCTATAGATAGATGGTTAATTTTTCTATATATATATTTTTAGAAATGGAGTCTTGCTATGCTGCCCAGGCTGGACTCAAACTCTTGAGCTCAAGTGATTTTCCCGCTTCAGCTTGTCAAAGTGCTAGGGTTACAAGCAGGAGCCACTGTGCCTGGACTGTATTTGCTTCTTACATTTAGTTCTTTAATTTTTCTTTTTAACTCAAACTATGTTTTAAAGATTTTTTGTCTCCTCTAAGTTATAATTTGAGGGCAGAGGGAAACTTGATTTAGCTTTATAGAATATGTCTTAAAGCTAAACTCTGTTTTTTATCCCTTACACACGAAATCAAAGATACTTGTTTGAAAGACAAAGGCATTTGTTAATAAAACAGATACTCCATCAAGTAACACTCTGAAGGAGAGAGTGGGGGTGTGTTTGTTCTTCAGGTCTTTCAACAAGTAAGTAGTGAGAGAGAGGACCATCCTTTCTAGTTCAACCATCTCAGACCCCTGCCCTCTTTTTGCCCCCCCTTCCGTACCTTACAAATGGAGAGAAACCCCTCATTGCTGTTTCTGCTGCAAGGCGGCGAGGTGCGCACATCCTGGCAGCTGTGAGCAGTCAGTGATGTTCCTGCTCACTGTCTTCCTCCTTGTCATCATGAAACCTGCCTCTAGGTCGCACAGTGACTTTTGACATTTTGTGGCATAATTGTCGCTCACACAATGTATTTTTCTGTTTTTTTAAAAGGAGAAATTGTCGTAAATGAAGTCAATTTTGTGAGAAAATGCATTGCAACAGACACAAGCCAGTACGATTTATGGGGAAAGCTGATATGCAGTAACTTCAAAATCTCCTTTATTACAGAAGACCCAATGCCATTACAGGTGTGTTTTATCTGTACACTGTAAATTTTTATCAAGGCTTTCAACTCTTAGCAGCACCTATTATTACATAAACCACATGTGGGAAAATTGCAATAAAATTAATAAGTGGTTAATATAATGTTGGGGATCAATTATACTAAAATTAAAAACAAAGTTTAAGAAGAATGTTGGGACTTGCTCGTGGAATATGAGTGAGGTGATTTTAAATCACTTTGCTTCATTTATCCTCTGTGATCATTGGTTGGTTATACATCCTTTTCAATAAGGAGGTTATTCTATTTTTTAGATGTTTTAACTTACTTTATCTTTTTTACTGTCAGAGAAAAATAATTATTTAGCAAATAATCTTATAAGTGCTACATGTTTTTCTCTGATTTCATAGTTTTTTACACTAATTAGTTCTTTCCCCCAAAAGCCAAATTCTAGGTCTAGCCAAATTCTAGGAAGAGTGAAGAAAAATACTGACAAACTTTTTTTATTATTTTTAAGAAACAGAGTCTCACTTTGTCGCCCTCGGTAGAGTGCTGTGCCATCACAGGTCACAGCATCCTCCAACTCCTGGGCTTAGAGTCTCCTGCCTCAGTCTCCCGAGTAGCTGGGACTACAGGCACCGGCCACAAGGCTCGGCTATTTTTTTGATTGCAGTTTGGCTGGGGCTGGGTTTGAACCTGCCACCCTCAATATATGGGGTCAGCGCCCTACTCACTGAGCCACAGGTGCTGCCCATGACAAACTTATTTTTAGTAGTTCTCTTGCTATTTTATGTTCTTATTGGAAAACAAGAGCTCCATATTATTTTGGTTTTTAAAAGTTCAGACATTCATTTGATTCACTTAAAATGCTGGACTTTTCTCTCAATTATTTTCCATTTTTGTCTATAAAGTGTTATACTCATCCACACTGTAGATCTTTATTTATAATGTAATTGTTTTCTAATGAAATATTTACAAATGAACTATAAACTTTTAATTGAAGGGTCAAACAGAATGTATTGCTTTTTCTTTCTTTTTTTTTTTTTTGAGACAGAGCCTAAAGCTGTCCCCCTGGATAGAGTGCTGTAGCATCATAGCTCACAGCAACCTCCAACTCCTGGGCTCAAGTGAGTCTCCTGCCTTTGCCTCCCAAGTAGCTGGGACTATAGGTGCCCGCCAAAATGCCTGGCTATTTTTTTTTTTGGTTATAGCCGTCATTGTTGTTTGGTGGGCCCAGGCTGGATTCGAACCCGCCAGCTCAGGTGTATGTGGCTGATGCCTTAGCCACTTGAGCCACAGGCGCCAAGCCAAACAGAATATATTTCATATAGTCATTCATTAATTTATTATATTTACTGCACTATATATTTGTGTGTTTATTGCAATCTTCTCAAGGTGTATTTAGACTAAATTTAAGACACTGACAGACAACTAATATATAGGGACACTAGCTATTTGGATTTAAGGAGTTTTTTCCCCTTTTATTTTTAGTTTTATTATGATCCATGGCCCCAGATATCACGATTGATAGTGATATAGTCAACTATGTCCTTAGTTTGAGAATGGGTACAGTGTTTGTTAACATGCCAAAAAAAAAAAAAAAAGCTATGGTTTGCCAACACCTTTCTCTAAAGATTTTTATTTCTAGTAATCTACTCTAAAGTGATAGTTATTTTCTACTCTGAAATCTCTGTTGTAAAAATCAAGCATGATTTTACCCATTAAAATCCGATGACCTTGGCATCCCTCTATCTTTATTATTGTGTAGTCCCCTCATCCAGATCTGAACATGGAAATGTTTGCCTATGAAATGATCTATACTATTCCATATCTTAGATATTATAGTTGGATTGTGGTGTACATTTTATCCTGATTTCCATCTGTCAAAAAGAAATGTGGGGAGAAAAGTGGAGGGAACATAAGCACAACATATATTTCTTTCTCTCTACCCTTCCTTTACTACTTTAAGTGTGTTCTGAGATACTGTATCCTTTGAATGGTCCCAGCTATAAAGACAAAAGCTTTTTGTTCTTTTAGAAATAGTTGTCTTAGTTTCTCATTACACTTAATAGTAAAGCTTATATTATCATTGTTTGGCTATTGGGAAAAGAATTAATGTGAACATAATTTTTTTATTTCAGAAATTTCATTACAGAAATCTTCTTCTTGGTGAACACGATGTCCCTTTAACGTGTATTGAGCAAATTGTCACAGGTATGTAGTGTTCTGTACGCACTTTCTGGAGGTTGATTCCTCCCTGGAAGTACTACTTAAAAGTCATACTTCTCAAATACTTGGGTTGGAGTTTTATTCCTGTAGCCCCAGAAACATTACTGAAAGAGGGATAAGTCAAGAAATTATTTTATAAAGGAGATAGAGAATATATAGCTTTTTTATGGCTTCTGAAGTTTTGTCCTCTTTTTAATTAAAATTTTAATCATGAAATGTATCAAGATGGTGGTTATTTTATGAAAAAAATCATTTAATATATCTTCTGAAGCAAAGTTAAAACTGATCCCCCAAGTTCTAGGAATTATAGACAAATATGAAGGATTGCAGAGAAGCAACATTCAGGTGATAAGTAACCTTCCAGTTATTTTCACTAAAATGTGTACTAAAGGGTGAAGTAATTTTTATACTTTCTTTCTCTTTTACTTTTTCTTTTTTAGTAAATGACCAGAAGAGGAAGCAGAAAGTCCTAGGCCCCAACCAGAAACTGAAGTTTAATCCAACAGAGTTAATTATTTATTGTAAAGATTTTAGAATTGTCAGATTTCGCTTTGATGAATCAGGCCCTGAGAGTGCCAAAAAGGTAATGCTGTTAAGTTTTATCCAGTTATGGGCTCTGCACTATATTTACTGATTTTTAAAGGCTCAGATTTTTTTAGGGGACTTTATCATCAGATATCTCCTTAAGTAAAGTGAAAGCTGAGAATATTAATAGAATGATTTCTTTGGATTAGTTTGTGGCTGCTTTAAAGTATTCTGTATACAGCTCCTAGAATGTTAAGGACTCTCATGTGGAAATTAATGTATCTTTTACATTAAGCCTATCACCTGTTGCTTTCTTTCTTGGTTTGAAAGATTGAAAAGTTGGTGATTTTACTGTAATTAAGATTTGGTAAGGCTTTTAATTCAGAACTGTAGAACTTTACCAACAAACTGTAAGCAGGACTTAGGCTACATAAGGTTTAGGTAAATGTATAGTTAAGAGAGGAACCTAATAATTATCAGTGGTTTAAAGAAGTCTTATGAGTTGATTTCGCAGGGTAACTGAAAGATGCTAACTTTTCAATTGCTTTATTTTCCCCTGGCCAGGGAATGTTCACCTACTTAACCGAGTAAGATTCAAGGGCAAAAATCTCCACTTTGATTCCATGTTTTGCTTTACTGGTGAAACTTACAGACCTAATACCCCTCCGTTCCAGTCTATTTTGTAACAAAAGCTGAGGAGCGAAATTTCCAGAAAAAAAGTCTGTTCCTGTATATTGGGAATAGAGCAACTGTGTCCTAGGGAAACAGGAAGTTGTTTCCTCTCAGAACTGAGGCAGCCTTTGCAATACCCTTTGCAGTGGGTGCGTTTGTGTTCTGTGATCAGTAGACGGCAGTGAAATTCTGGGACATCTAAATGAGGCAGCTGTCTGCATGCACCTTGATGGGGAGGGGGAAGATTTGTTTTTTAACTGAAACCAACAGATTCTTCACAGAAAGGCAAACCTGAGATGAATCTCTGAAAATACATGACCATCTAGCAGAGTAGAATGATGGTAGGTTCTGTGGGCAAAAATTTTCAAATAAAATCTATACAGCTGTCTCTTAGCATGCTGCATTATAGAAAATTCAACTAGATAACTCCTAAGGCCCCTTTTACCTATTCAGTTCTGCTGTTTGTGATTTTGGCATTTTGTAAGTTTGAGATGCCTATTCTATATAGAGAGACTTTAGAATTAGGTAGTAGATGGTACATAAAATATTTTGAGCTTAAATATATACTTATAATTTAATTAATCAGGCATCAAGAACCTGCTTATGAAAACTTTACTTTCAAGATTTATAACATCTGGCTTGGCACCTGTAGCTCAAACAGCTAAGGCACCAGCCACATACACCAGAGCTGGCAGTTTTGAATCCAGCCCAGGCCTGCCAAACAACAATGACAACTGCAACCAAAAATAGCCAGGTGTTGTGGCAGGTGCCTGTAGTCTCAGCTACTTGAGAGACTGAGGCAGGAGAATCACTTAAGCCCAAGAGTTTGAGGTTTCTGTGAGCTGTGATGCCACGGCACACTACCTAGGGCAACAGCTTGAGGCTCTGTCTCAAAAAAAGATTTATAACATCTAAAGAATGGGGCACTACAGAACTTGTGAAAATGAGTTAGGACAACATATGTTTAAGGAAGAAATTGATACAGTTGGCCTGATATTCTTTTAGAAAGTTGAATTTTCTTCCACTCTCTTACAGTATTTTTCAGATGACACTATTTTTAAAGTGGAAATCATGATTATTTGGTCTTGTTCTTGACCAAGTCTTGCGTACTTACTGATAATTTTTTATTTATGAGGCAGTGTGCTAAATTTTGCAAGGTAGAAACAAAAATAAGATTCAATTTCTTGCCCTAAAGAGCTTAAGTCTAGTTGAAAAGACAAAGCATTAACAAATGAAAATTAATGGTATAAAGTAGGAACATAAAAGTTGTTTTCACACAAATGAGTGGTTGCCAAATGAACAGAGCATAGTAAGTGCTCTGGAAATTCAGGGTACCCTGAATTGGGTACTGCATTGCTGCTGAGTGATCAACAGCACTCACAAAACAAGCTGAACCGCACAAAACAAGCTGGTCCACTTATCCCCTTTCCCAAGACCAAGTTTCTGATAAAGATCCTTTCCCCAGTGTAAAAATATAAAAAATATGTTACATCAGGCCACCCAAAAAACTTTATCTTTTATATAGTCATGGGGGGGAGGATATAGGAAAAATAGTTGCAATGAGAATGTAAATAGAGATTTTTCTTCTAATTCACATATTTCAAACAAAGAGGGTTAGGTCAGGTGTCGCAACCAAAGCTTAATGGCTTCATGAGTTAAAAACAAAAATTGTGGCATACCTTTTATTTCAAGTGATGATTTCATCTAAAATTAGGTTACAGCAGGAAAGTTATGGCTCATTTTACATCCTGGAAGCTTTAAATAGTAAATTTTATCTGGAAAATGCTTTGATTTTATAAGTTGTTTTAAAATGACCAGATGTGTCTTTGGAGTTCTCCGGAGGGCAAACCACTGATTAGTTTTGAAATGCTATCTATATTTTTGTTTGAAAAATAAAGTCTCAGGATACTAAATTGGTTCACATTTGTTAAATGTTGTTCTGAAACTGTCTGATTGTCCAGTTGGTATTATCTTGGTAGTATCATGCCCAAGTTAGACTGATTCATGCACTCGTATCCACTAACATTCACCTTCTTGTCCTTAGCCGGCATAGGAAAATAGGATATTTGGGAAAGGTCTAGGAATTTGATGGCACAGAATTGGACATCTAACCTTACAGCAACTTTAAGCCACCATTTTTTTAGGAACCTTTGTTCAAAACTGAGAGGTAGTTAAAGATTGCTAAGGTAGTTAGCAAGCTAAAAAGGTTGTTTGTAATGATTTGTCACTACATATACTATTTAGAGAGAGAGACGCCCTTTGTCTCCACTTTATTCTCGAATTAGTTGGTATACCACTTGCTTAGGCATGCTTTCTAGAAGTGAACTCAGTTCACCTAATTTAAGAACAAGTTGGTATTCAGTTTTGCCTTGAATCTTATCTTTACTCTTCGGTGGCTTTCAGACTGCAGTAATGTAGGAAATCAGTTTTGTTTGCAAATGAAATAAAGTTTGAGTGTCTCCTAGATTTGAGCTTCTCTAATACTACCCCCTCCCTCCCAGTCAGTCTTAAAAGACCAGCTTGTCCTGGGGGTACTTCTGGCTTCTGTCCAGAGAATAATGTCAGCCTTGGTCCAAAAATTGCTTCAAAAGTAGTTTACTTTTTTTCCTACAATAAAATATTTACCATAATTTAATGTCTTTAATACTAAGATTTTTTTCATATCCTGTGATACCTAGGACAAATGAACTATTGCAAAGATAATTTTTAAAGATAGAGTTTCTAAAATTTTTCATACTTAGGAAGCAATTGCAGAGTCAGAAGTATTTTACATGAAAATGAACATTTTTGAGATTTTTTTTTTTTTTTGAGACATAGTCTTATTTTGTCACCCTCGGTAAAGTGCTATGGCATCATTGCTTACAGCAACCTCAAATTCTTGGGCTCAAGCAATCCTCTTGCAGCTTCCCAGGTAGCTGGGGCTACAGGTGCCTGCCACAATCCCAGCTTGTCCCCAGAGACAAGAATCCCTGAAATCAGGCGATCCACCCACCTTGGTCTCCCAAAGTGCTAGTATTACAGGTATGGGCCACAGTGCCCAGTGGGACATTGTTTTTTAAGTCTTTCAGAAACTTTTTGGGGTTCCTTAGGCAGGAACTTGGACTTAGCCTTTTAAATACTGTAGTATGTACCAAAAAGCACAAAGAAAAGGGCACCTGGCTTTCTTTTCTCAAAATGTCCCATGGTAATGGCATGAGTATAATCATGTGTACCTTTGTCTGTGTACCCAGGATACCACTAACTTAGGTTATACCAAAATAAGTTCTATATACTTGTAATTCTACTGTAAAACAATAAATTTAGTTGAAGCTGTACTTCCTCCCCTTCAAAACATCAACCATCATGGAAGTAACTAAACTGAATTTAGTTTTACAGTATTTTTTATAGACTCCTTTAAACGTAGATGCTATTAGACATACTCATTTGTTTCCTAACCTAGTGTGATATTGGACTTGTTTCCTTTTTGCTTTGTGGCCACAAGAAAAACATACTCCCTAATCAGTGATGTGTGAATTTATTTTGTCTAAACAGGTTCTGTGACTTCTTTCTCAATGTCTTTGACAATGTGCTGTTACTAGCTTGGAGTATTTTTCTTAATATGTTAGTAACTAATTTTGTCAGCTGGTGTTTTTAATGCAGCCACCTTTGGACACAGAGCACTTCAGAAAGCTCCTGAAGTGACGCTGCAGACGCAGGAATCTTCAGAGCTGTGCTCTTATCTGTGCAGAGACGTCTTTCTTAGTCTCTTTCTCTAAATTTCAACCTGCTTCCCTCTTCTCTCAGTGTAGCACTTCCCATTCCCCTTCCCTGATTCGTGGCCTTCTCCTTTAGCACTAACAGTCATGTTACTTACTGCATGTTTTGTTTTTAGTGTCTGTCTATGTCACTAGAATGTAAGCTGAGTGAGGGGGGTTGGTGTCTGTTTTGTTCTCCAGGGCTTAGAAAATTGTAGGTCTCAGTAAATATTTCTTGAATGAATGAGAAATGTGGTATCTAACCTTCATGAATCACCCTTAATGGTAGAAGTATAATAGAGAACTACCTGTGTCCTGCTTTTCTTTTTTTTTGCAGTTTTTGGCCAGGATCAGGTTTGAACCTACCACCTCCAGTATATGGGGCTGGCGCCCTATTCCTTTGAGCCACAAGTGCCACCGCCTGTGTCCTGCTTTTCATCCATAGCATAGATATTATGTGAATACCTTAGAAATATAGCTATATCTGCACAGTTAACTAAAGGGATACTTTATATTTAAACTAACATTATTTAGAAGAAAAAGAAGGATTTCTGGAATGAATGTTCTAAAATTGGCTTCATCTAGGAAGAGTTATGAAGAGACTACTGTTGAGCAGACAGGACAGTGTCCAGGACAGCATGATTAGCCGGAGGAATAGAAGGATTTCTGAAGCAAAGTGTGTGACGGAGGCAATGGCTGGGGCTGAGTCAGACAGGACAGTGTCCATGACAGCACGATTGGCCAAAACAATAGAAGGATTTCTGAAGCAAAGGGTGTGACGGAGGCAATGGCTGGGGCTGAGTTAGACAGGACAGTGTCCATGATTGGCTAAAGGGAGTAGAAGGATTTCTGCAGCAAAGAGTGTGACAGGCAGTGGCGGGGGCTGAGTTAGACAGAATGTGTGCAGACTTGTTTTTCTCTGACCAGACACTACTGAGGGAAGACTAGGAAGGTGAGGGGTATTGGTGAGGGCAGCCAGCTCTGTGAAGAATCAAGAGTAAAGAGATTTAATTGATTATGCAGGTGTCTGGGAACTAGCAGATTATCAGGAGAGCAAAGCTAGTAGTCAAAGTCATGTAGAAGAGAGTTTTTACACGTCGTGTATTTCTAGACTGTAGGGAAGCCCACAAAGGTGAATATGGCTTAAAGCTCAGGCTGTGGCAGTGTAATGAAATGGACAAATAGGAATAATTTCTAGGGAATAGTACAACAAAGCTTGGAGGATTTTTTCCATGGTACAGGCTTCAATAGTTTTGCAATGGAAGCATTCTAAAGAAGACTGTGAACAGACAAGGATGGGAATGTAGATGACCTGCTCTTCAGTTTTGTTAAGTGGGATCATTTTAGAAAGCTTTCCTGTAGGCATTGAGAAATTGAGAAACTACATAAGTTTCAAGAAGCATTTTTCTTTTGTGTCAAGACTAGTGATCGGTTCTGTTGACTTGGTTGTATATTTTAATTGAATAAGACAGGAAACATATAAAAGAGTTTTAAAATACAGTATAAGCAGCAAGCTGACACATACTTATTAGTTAATGGAATTTTCATCAACCCACTTGAAACACCATGTTATTCAACATGAACTAACAAAACTTTCCTTCTTTGCTCACTGTTGAAAGTATATCATTCTGCTTTAATGCTTTCCCTTCTAAATGATGTCTCATGTTTTTAGATAAGGTCTTCTGCTACTCTCTCTGTGCACATGTCTTAAATTTCTTCTTCCTTCTTTGCTCATTTGAGAGCGTTTCCTCCTTAGGCCCAGGGTTTATAAGCATAGAGCACCCTTTTTCACTCCATACAACAGCAGTAGAGAGTGACAGCTGTCTTTCCATGCATGGAACTTCTCCAAAGACCAAGCATACACTAAAGATTGTTAGTCCTCACCACAAGCTAGGTGTTACGTTCATTTTACAGATGAGCAGACTGAAGCTGTGGGAGAGGAATTGACTCCACCCAAGTTATAGCAGGTACTTGATAGAGTTAGGATCATGCCCTAATGTCTGATTTGAAAGTCCACACTTTTCCCATCACAGTCTGAAATCATTTAACTTAAACATAATTTTTTTGATGTACCTTTTTGAGCCAGCCATGTATTTTTTAGTTTCTTGCCAATTTAAAGTTTTTGTGATTATGGCTTATCTAGTAAGTTTAGACTTTTTAATCTAGTGAGATGTAAACATTAAAATTTCATGTCTTATGTCAAGCCTTTACAGTCCACCAAAAATAAAACTTTTTTCTTCTTCCTTTATTTACTTATTTATTTATTTTTTAGAGTGGATATGTTGTTGCTGCCTTTTCAGAGAATGCTTTAGCTTTTAGGTTATATGTATTGGAGTAAAAGTACTTTTCCAGTTAAAATGCAGCTCAGCAAATAACTTATGGAATACTTGCCATGTACTAGCTAAAGATTAAACAGTGTCTTGGGGGCACAACAATGAATAAGGTGCTTGGCCTTAGGGAGCTACTTTGTATTCTAGGAGAACAGAAAAGCATGTAAAAGATAAGTCTCTGTAGTCACTGCCCCAAGATGGTGCTCCCAGTGACCAAGGCCTTGTTATACATTTCATTTAACTGAGAGTGTGTTAAAATCAAATTCTAAATGTAGAATTTTTCCTAGGTATGCCTTGCAATAGCTCATTATTCCCAGCCAACAGACCTCCAGCTACTCTTTGCATTTGAATATGTTGGGAAAAAATACCACAATTCAGGTAAATATGAAAATATTAAATATTGTGACTAATTTACATGTATAAATTTTACTTTGTTTATCAGAAGCCTCCAAATATATGAGCTTTAATGATTGTAGAATTATCAGCTTCCTACCTAGTGGAGAAGTAAGCACTACATACTAAAAGAACCAATAATTGGTTAGACTATTTCTTGAAAAATAACCAGGGAGAACCTATAAGCAGCTATAAACATGGGCTTACACTCATGTTAAATATTTTACCTCCAGTCATTGGCTTGTATTTTATGATGAGGAATATATCCCCCACCCTTTTTAATTAGTACCTTGAGTTAAAGTAATCTTATCTTTTAAGAAAACTAAAAAAGTAGGTCAAAAAGCATAATCTTTTCTGGCGAGGTATAATTTCATGCAGAATCTGAAATGATTAAAACTTTTTGTGGGCTTCATTAAGATTCTCAGATAATTGACTTTGTATTATTGAATAACAGTGATGGAAGGAGGATGAGACTCTGTCCAAAGGACAGGTGTATTCTAGGCAGTTTTTCTGAAAGTAAAATACTTTAATTTACGTACCTATGATGGCCATGACATCATCAAGGAAAAGTATAGATAATTGTGTAATCCGTGCTTTCTGCTTACATACAAATGTAATTCTAATAAAACCAGTTTTAAAAATCTCTTTAAAAGATGGAGAAAAACAGAGGCCATGTCTCCTTTAGCCCTGTTGTGGGTTTTAGTGACTGCAGATCAACTAGCCAATTGAAGCACATATTCTCTCACTGTTTAAGCATGAAAATGATTGTATATTAATAATGAAAAAATTCATCTACTCCAGCATGGTCTGAGTTTTATAAATTATTAATCATCCTGGAATTTTATATTTTGTTATTGTAAAACATGGTAGTAATTTAAATAATCTGTATAGTGAAAATATATTAGTGTCATTATATTGTAAATACATTAAAATGTGCTATCAATACACAGTATCATCAGATGTGTATAGTGGAAATGCACTTCCATTACTTGAAAAAATATTTATCAACACCTTAAAGTTGATATATGAAAATATTGCCTTGCAGAATAGCTCTTATCTTAAAGTATATGCCGGCTCGGCACCTGTGGCTCAAGTTGCTGAGGCTCCAGCCACGTAAACCCAAGGTGGTGGGTTTGAATCCAGCCCGGGCCCACCAAACAACGACAGCTGCAACCAAAAAATAGCCGGGCATTGTGGCGGGCACCTGTGGTCCCAGCTACTCGGGAGGCTGAGGCAGGAGACTCGCTTGAGCCCAGGAGTTGGAGGTTGCTGTGAGCTGTGATGCCATGGCACTCTACCCAGGGGGACAGCTTGAGGCTCCTGTCTCAAAAATAAATAAATAAATAAATAAATAAAGTATATGCCTATAGAAATTGGATAACAGAAGTATTTGTGACTTTATTTTTCTTATAAAAATGTACATAATTAGGTTCGAGGAATTCTTTAAAATTTGTTCCTTAATATAAAGTAAATTCACTTATTGTCTAAAAATAAATTAGCATACATCTTGCACTGTTAGGTAAATACTCCTTTGGGTCATCATCAGGCCACAGAACATTGATCGCTAGATCATCTTCAATAGGATCCTCACCCACAATCGCAAGAGAACAGCTAAAAGGAAAGTTCCAGGAGGTGCAGGAGTTGTAGGAGGAAGTCTTCAATACCTGCTTAATTGGTTTCTCATGCAAATGGTTCTTCATGCTTTGTTTTTTCAGGTAGAAATTATTTAGTCCAGCTGCACATCCATGACTTCTGCACTAATATGATCACTTGGGCTCAACAAATACAGTAAACTTTCTATACAGTTGATAACCTGATGCCTGCTTAAGTTTTCACATTTTTCTTCATTCTTTGTGGGCCTCTCTGGTTATAATATTCTTAATATTATAAACCCATATTTATTCTTAATATTATCAACCCATAGGTCTTCTACTAGGTTTTTAAAATTTACATTATTCAGTTCCTCTATTATATAGCTTGTTCATAAATTTTGATGATTAAAACTTAAATAGTCAGGAATTTTTTTTATATACATCCTTCAGACAATTACTTCATAAACATTACACTGGCCATAGTTTTGTTACGATTCCTCATAGGGTGATATCCTTTAATATCCTTCCATGCTGTTACAGAAGCATAAACTGCATCCTTAAGATCAAAAGAAGCCTGCAGTTTCCATACACTACAGTCAGAACTCACTAATTTGTGAGTGAAAGATGCCTAATATTCTACTCTTGAACTTCTGGATGGCACCTTGATTCATTGGCTGGATTAAAGAAGTCCTTTTTGCAGGCAGGTAGGTGACAAAGCTGTGTCCACAACTAAGACCTAAAGTTGAAGGAGCTCTTCTGCAATGAGAAGAGAATCTTGTAGCTGGCCTTAGGCATTCTAAGATTTTCTTTCATAATCTGGCATCACATGAGTAAAAGCTGTCTCTGGAAGGTTCTGCTGTCATCCAGACACTGCTGTGAGGGTCCTGAGCATAGTTAGGTGCTTAGCCTGGGCTGCACACACGTGAGAGGCATAGACAGAAACGGCGATGCTGGTTTTCCCTTTAAGTTAAACCAGGAGGATGCTGTGTTCATCAGTCAGGTCATTATTAGGCAAATAATGTCAAAATAGGACACATTCTTCATTTTACAAAATTGACAAGATGTCAGATTATGCTTCTGGACTAACACTTTGAACACCTCATGAAGTTACCTGCAGGTTCAGTGTCAGCCCCTCTACTTCATGACAGACTTCATGCATCCAGGTGCTGTGATGTACTCCGAAATTATAAGGAAATTTCACATCAGAAATGCTACATTTTCAGTAACATTTATTAATTTTTACCCTTTTTATTAACAAAGATCTTGGCGTTAGGTTTTCTTTTCAACACTTATTTCAAAAACACAGGTCACACAATCCATTTGGAATAGTGTGAGAATTTTTAAGTTTGTTGCTTATCAGTTCCTTTAAAATTTTTGGTGTAGTGACTTTGATCAATCCTCTTGTATCTCAGATATGCCATAGGCATCAGAATGATGTTAGAAGCCCTAAGAAATCCAGCCATGTTGGCACCACCACTGGCCACACAGTCACAATCTCCCAGTGGGAACCACTTTGTTGCTCACCTCTTTTGAACTTATTAATGATCACTGTTGTCGTTTTACCGTCTTTCTTCTCTGTGACTTCTGATGTCTGCAGTATCATCAAAGTGTTAGGATTTCTTTTTATATATTGACTACTTTTATTATCTTTCCTGTTGTTTGGGGCTGTGTTTAATATCACTGGGGCCAACTAAATGGAAACTCTCTAAAATAACCTCAACAGTCTAGAATTAGACTTCTGAACAGAATCATAAAAGACAGCCAAGGTCAGGAGTGTTTAGTATCTGGTTTCATTTTTAGTTTGCTGAGGAGCTATACCATAAAACCTCAGTCAGGTGGCTGTCAAGAAAGCTCAGATGACCGACCCTGTCAGTCTGGTGCTGTGACCCCACATACCAATACACTTATAGAACAGGCCACTGATGTCAGGCCCTTGGGACTTCTTGGAAAGCATTAGAATTTCTAGGCTAAGCCAGATGAGTATCTGAGTACTCATTGATACTGTAAGGAGGTCTCATTGAAGAAGATACAGAACATATAAAAGGCCTGGTCCCCACTGTTGAGAAATGTACAGAATTTGAACAAGAGAAACCTATATAATAGCAAACAATATAGGATTCTATAGGTACCCTCACTTATATTCAGAAAAAATTGTCTGAATTAGATCTAGAGGTTAAATTTGGCCGGAGAAGCAGTCTTATAAACAGTAGTGTATTCTTTTTTTTTTTTTTTCTGAGATCAATGGCTGTTTTTATTACAAAAAGAGAGGCTCTCAGACAGCCTGTGCTTCCTGATGGGAAGTACACATTCCTGCCCACAAAGTCATCTTGCCAACAAATAAATAAATGAATAAGATCTGAACCTGACCCAGCTCCTGGATCCAATTTTCAAAACATAGAGAGGACAGAGGAACATGTGAAACTACACCACAGAGAAGCAGTCAGCAAAGTCCAGATCCTATAGAACCAGGGATGCAGTGTCTTCAACAAACAAGATGTGAGGGGAAAGGAGATGGAGCAGATTCCAATAGATTAAAATTTATGGGATATATCATCCAACTGATTCAAGCTATAAAATTGTATGAGACACTCAAACAGTAGTACATTCTTAGCCTAGCTTATTAAAAAGTCTGGAGCGCAGAACACCAAAAGTATTCAGTTCTAGACTTTCAGCCAAGGGGATGCTACCAAACTTTTATATACCTCTTAAATTTTTGTGTGTGTGTTCTATATATTAATACTCCTTTTTGGGAGGTGATTATCTTACTGTGTGGCTAGAACCTCTGTTTCAGTGATTAATAGCAGTAATGTTAGCAGGCATTGTTCTGTCCCTGCTTTTAATGAGGATACTGTTTATTCTATATTCTTGATAAATATCCTTTATCGAGTTAGGGAAATTCTTTTTTAATCCATATTCCTAAGTTTTTTTTTTTTAATCATGTAACAGATATCAAACTCTATCAGACATTTTTCTGTACTTATGAATTGGTTATATGTGACCTCATAAGCTTTTCCCTCTTTAATTTAGTCATATGGTTAATTACTTTGATTTTCTAACACGGAATAGCTGTCTGTGTTTTGGTGCTGTAGAACACTGTTTAGATTGGGCATTGCCTGAAAATTCTATGTAGGTTTTGCATTCTGGAGAGATCACAACTCCCAAGGTGTCTCACAACCCCTACCCACTGTAGCTGTGTTACCCCAGAAGGGACTGAGATGAAATGGGACCCCAGAATATGGACTTAGAATTGACATTTTAATTTTTAATGAGCTCTGTTAAAATCAGAATTACCTGCTAATTTTGATCCCACTTAAACTATTCCAGATTCCTAACTTGGTACATAAAACTCTTCATGGTGTAGAGTAGCCCAGTGATGGGAATGATCTCTCATCTGTGCCAGTCAGTAGGTTAGCCACTAGCCACATGTGGTGAATGTGGCTAGTATAACTGAGCAATTGAATTTTTCATTTTAATTCCAGCTTAAATTTAAATGGATACATATGGCTAGTGGTTACTCTTTAGGGCAGTACAGATCTAGAGATTAGGCCCCATCTTTTTTTTTTTTTTTTTTTGAGACAAGTTTTGCTCTGTTGCCCCGGCTAGACTGCCATGGCCTCAGCCTACTTCACAGAGGACTCCTTCCTCCCGAGTAGCTGGAACTACAGGCACATGCCACTGTGCCCAGCTAATTTTTCTATTTTTAGTGAGATGGGGCACTCTTGTTCAGCCTGGTCTTGAACTCTTGAACTCAAGCAGTCCACCCAGCTTGGCCTCCCAGAGTGCAGTGATTATAAGGATGAGGCACCACACCTGGCCTAAGCCCCATCTATTATAATTTCCAGCCTCTCTTTGTCCTTCTCCTTCTCTTACATCCCTAACATGCTAACTGTATTTAATTGCATGATGTTATACAATTGACTGTGTTTTTTTAGGTTCTTTTCTGCCCAACATGCCTACCTCCTTCTCTCACCAGTCACCTGGCAACTGTGATTCATTTCTTAGGACTCTGTTCAGAGGTGGTCAAGTCATGAATCCTTTCCTGCCCCAGCTTCCCCCTCCCACCCCAGAATCAGGGGGCCCTCTTGTGCCTCTTTGTTGTACTCAGAGATGCAGTGCACTGTGAATCTGCTCTTACTCCCTGCTCTCCTGTTAGCATTCTCAAGGTGGAGATAAACTCTTATTCATCTTTGTACTCTTAGGCCTTAGAACGTGGTGGATTCTCAGAAGATACCTGACTTCTATCAGGAGTTAAGTTACCAGTAGTAGGAAGGGACATGGCATGTTCAGGGGCCAGTTTTGCATGGCTACAGTGGGTAATGGGAACTAAGTCAGGTGAGGGGTCTCTGAGGCTGAGAGAAGCCATTTAGGTTTGCTTGATTGAATTTGGAAAATGGCATGAATTAACCCTGGGGTCAAGAGACTAAGCCTTGTGAAAGTGTCTTTCAAGGAAATATGTATTGTGGCCAGCTACTGCCTGGCTCGCATGCAGCAAAGGCTCCTGTCTGCGTGTCAGCTGGGAGACTCGCCACAGTGGCACCTGCAGCAGGAAGACATTGGACCAGGACAGGCTGTGCTTTCTGTCATTCCAGATTGCCAGGGTAGATATGGTGGACTGTAGGGCACCTTCTGGTCACTGTGCTGGTACTCCTGAGGCTAAGGAAATTCAAGTTTAGGCCCATCTGCTGAAATGTCTGTGGGACCAGCACTGGAGCAAGCACAAGGAACCTTCTGAGCTTTTCAAGGAGAATTGAGTAGATGTAGGAAATGAATTTTCTAATAACTAGATAGATGGAAAGTTGGTAATAAAAAAAGATTCGGAGGGCTCAAGAACAGATGATTGTTGGACGTGTTCATTTTTTCAGGTAAAAATGTGTGGAAAAATAAGCTAATAACTTGGATTTCCCCCAGAGTTTGGGGCAGGGCAGTGAGGAAGGGAAAGGAATCATCTCTGTTAGAATGCTGAGGGTGGAGACATCTGAAAATTAAGGAGAACTTAAGTGGAGAGGAAACGTGCAGCAGCATTCCTCATTATTTGGGAAGGTGGTCAGTAATAGGAAGGAAGAAAAATGTCTAACACAGTAGTGGTCAGACAAAATCAAGTGAAAACCTTTGAAATCACATTGACCTGTTTATGTTTGAAGGCAGAGGAGAGAGAGCCAGGAGGACAGAAAAATCAGAGATGTATGAGGAGCTGGGAAGGAGCTGGATAGGGACAGGGACAGGAGTAAATGAGTCCCTCGTAGATGGATAAGGCGGGACTCTGAGAGACGTGAGAGAGGAAGTGGGAGGAGATGCCCCGTCCGAGTGTGTGTGAGAGGGGACGAGGGCTGCGTGAAGGGGGCTGTTGAGACAAAACCAGTAATCCTGCTTTCTCCTACAGCCAGCAAAATAAACGGAATCCCCTCAGGAGATGGAGGAGGAGGCGGCAGCCCCAAAACTCCACTGTTTGAAACTTACTCAGATTGGGACAGAGAAATCAAGAGGACAGGAGCTTCCGGGTGGAGAGTTTGTTCTATTAATGAGGGTTACATGATATCCACTTGGTAAGTCCAGTTTCGTGATGTTACACGGAGCTGGAAGCACATTCATTATGAAGAATAATCAAATTGCTGGCATTGAGAACTTTAAGTTATGGTTAATGGATTATTTGTTTTTAATAATGTTTTAATATTTTAAAGATTGATATCCATTGAAAGTTGATAATAATTTCTTACTGTCGTCAGCAATCTTGCAGTATTTATGTGCATTTTGTTTTGTTACTATCTTTTACAATTGGTTTGTTCAGAGCGAGATCCAAACACATTCAAGTTGAATTTGCTTCATGTCTCTTAGGCCTTTTAATCTACAATGATTTCCTCTCAGCTCTGTTTCACTTACTGTTTATTTGTTGACAAAACCAAGTCTTTTGACTTGATGCCTGTGGCTCAAGTGGCTTAAGGTGCCAGCCACATACACCTGAGCTGGTGGGTTCAAATCCAGCCCGAGCCTGCCAAATGGCAATGAACAGCTGCAACCAAAAAATAGCCAGACATTGTGGCGGGTGCCTATAGACCCAGCTACTAGAGAGGCAGAGGCAGGAGAATCGCTTGAGCCCAGGAGTTGGAGGTTGGTGTGAGCTGTGCTGCTTCGGCACTCTACCCAGGGCAACAGCTTAAGGCTCTGTCTTAAAAAAAAAAAAAAAAAGCTAGGTCTTTTGTCCTGAGACTCACTTTCCATATTCTAGATATTCAGGTTTATCTTCATGTCCTTTCACGTGTTCTCTCAGGCTGGCTGGCTATGTCCTTCTCACTGTGATGCTGCCTGACCAGTGGGCTCAGAGGATGTCTGAGGACATCCAGGACTCTAATCCATCTAGTAGCAAGTCCTCCTTTTATATTGTTTATTTATTTATTTATTGCATTTTTTGGCGGGGGCTGGGATTGAACCCGCCACTTCCTGCATATGGAGCAGGTGCCCTACTCCTTTGAGCCACAGGTGCCGCCCTATATCATCATTTTAGATTCCAAAAATAGTTTTCATTGGGAGTGAGAATCATTGCCCATGGAAGATTGTTCATCTTCTAATTCTGTCATCTTTCTGCTTTCTACAAAACTTTTCTCTTACCACCTCTTTAGTACCCTCTAATATAGTTTATTCAAGCAAAGCAGTATAAATTCTTTTTCTCCTTTTCTAAATAGTTATCTCAAGAGTAAAATGGTTCCCTAGATCCTCCAAAAGTTACTAGGAATTTATTTTCTAGATTTATTTAATGTCATTTATTATTTGTAAATTTTTTAGAGTGCTTTGTTTTAAGATCATAGACGTCCTCATTCATTCATATAGATAAACAGTTTTTAAGTGGAAAAAAAATTCACTACCATGTTGTTACTGGTTGATCCAGTACCAGGAACTTCTAGGGGTACAGTTCTGGAATAGTGTTTGGGGCACTTAGCCCATGTCTAGGGTGACCAGATGTCCCAATTTTGGTGGGACAGTCCCGCTTTTCAACAATTTGTCCCACGTCCCATGGCGTTTTAAAAAAAGTCCTGATTTTTGGGCTC